GCAGCAATACAATAATTTAAACAGAATGTAGCTTAATTCGAAGGATAAAAGTAATGGGTCTTATATGAAAGTTTATTTACAAGTAATGCCCGCTCAACAATAGAGTCGATATATAAATAATTATGGAGTGTTAAAAATAATTAAAATAATTAAAAAAAATGTAACTTAAAATTTAGTGAAAATCAGATGTTTTTTTAAAAAAGACTTTTAGGATTTTTAAAAATTTAAATTTTAATTAAATCCGATTTTTTTTGGCATTAGTTTGGAAATAATTGAAGAAATGGAATTTTTTTTAAAGTCCAAAAAGTGATTGTAATATTTTTTTGCTTGGTTTGGAGAGAGAGTTTGTCTTCGGAGTCGAAAAGCCCAACCAACACCGTCCTATCCGTTGCAAAACGAAGTGCTTAGAAATTTTTTCATGATATGAGTTATAGTGTGCTTGTTGTTTACATGATCAGCAATTATATATATATATTATGTATGATATGTCATATATTCATAACTAAATATCCCTGGACGGACAGACAGGTGTTGTAGCTATACTTTACTACATATAAGAAATCTACAACGATCAACTGAATGCTTGTTAAGAACTCTTATGCAGTAATACTTTATATTAAAAATTTAAATAATACGTATATAGTAACTAATATAAATTTAAATAAATTATTTGTCATTTAAAATTGGAGATTTTTTCTTTAAGCTAAAGACCCATATAATTATCTGAAATGATTTGATATGGTGATATATTACTCAGAACAATTTTGATTTGGTTTCAAAACCGGCTTATGTAGTTCTCGCATTCTGTTCAGATTTTGCAAAGTCAATGGCTTGCTTTATGGTTTGGTTCAATTACGTAAAAATTTCAATGTCTCTCATTTCATCGCGATCCAGAACTAGTTCACAGCATTGATTTTTCGTTTTCTGTTGCTAAAATCTTACTCTTAAAAATGAAATTATTTTTTATATTATATATGTATTTATCACTTCTGGAATAACGCAAGAGATGCGATATAATGTGACCTTTGATACTTTTGATTATGGTAGATATAGTTACATATCAATACACGTGATTGGTTCCATCATAATAAAGAACAGTTGAGCTGATGTTGGTGTGTTAAATAGAATAAATAAGGTGTGGGAATATTTAACAGCAGTATAAATGCAGCTTATATGCATTTATATGGGATAAATGGAAATCTATCGAATATATCAAATATTAAATATATTACTAAAAAACTGTATGTCTTTGTTAACCATTGACTGAAAATAATATGATGTGTATTTTGGCTGAAAACGGTAGCAATAAAGAACGCCTTACATTAACAAGCAGTAAGCTAATTCAAACAAAAATAATAGAATTGGGCATACACTGCGCCAAGAAATTAATAACGTCCCAAAAAAGACACTTAAATATCAGCACTGGAAGACGAGGAAGGAGAGGGATGCTGTTGCATCAGAGGGATTATGTCAGCAAACAGTACACTTGTTTGGCAATGTGTTTCTATTCTATATATATATATATATATATAAATAACAAATGTGTTAATACTTATGGTTGAAACTTTGTGAAGAATAATGCATTACTCTTTACCTGTCATATCTGAATTGCGTTACTTTATTAGTGTAATATTCTTTTTCTTTGTTCTATTAACTCCCAGTGGAGCATAGGGCCTCAACAATTGTTTTGAACCGTATTCTATTTGGTGCTGCCATACAGATGTCGTTCCATAAGTAGCGCGCTGATGTTAGTAGTGTAATATTAATACTTAAGTTTTGTTTGATGCAATAAGTTAAGTCAACGTTCTGTTGAAATGGACGACCTTATGAAAATACATCTCTTTCATCGTGCTGGTAATCCCAACTTTTCTTCTTTTAATCAAAAAATATTGCATGAAGAGCACTCTCTTAATTGGACAGAACGTCTGATCCTATTAGTGGCTGCTTAAAAAATTTTTTACATAAGTAAGCAAAAGGAACAGGAGTTTTCAAATTAGCAAAAGACTTATGACCTGAATAGATCTCTTAAGAAGCTTACAAGTTTTTAAGTGAACCGTAGATAGTCTACTGCTTAATGGAGCTCTAAAGATTCTTGTTTGATGTGAAACGTGTGATAATTAAGCATACATAAATCTTTTTTATAGTATTTTCCACTTATATAGATTTCTTTCTGTTTTACCAACGAATTAATTTTTTTTTAAATAATTATTAATTAAACACTTATTTTTTTAAAGAATTACAATTTTTTATATATAATTCATATAATAACTTCCCAAAACTCTTTTGTGAAATATGCGCATATATGTATATGTTTTATATTTAAAAACTTTATTTGCAATTAAGCTACTTATGTGTTTTTAATAATTTAATAATTTTTTTTTTTAATTGTTATTAAAATTTATTTCACATGTGGGACTAAAGTATAAAGCGCATTAAGCTCTTACAACACTTAAATACAAAGCGCTTAATCTAATATAGATTAAATTAATCTAAATTAGCCACAGCAAATAACATTTTAATATTTTTCCAGTATTTTTTATTTTTTTGATTACATTTTTTAAATATTGAATAGGCATAAACTAATTGTCAATATTAGGGGGAAAAGTAGGGGGAAAGTTTTACACATTATTTTGTCTTCACTTATGTTCTGTTCTTACACTCTATCATCATAACAGTATTAACACAGAGCACTATTTCATCCATTACACAATATGCCCCAAGACTAACTTCTAAGCACGTATCGTTCCTTAGTAGTATAATAACTTCTCTATAGTATGATTGGTCTTAAAGACTTCATGGTAAGAGCACCTTTATAGCTTTACGAAATAATATAGAAGTCACTGGAAGCCACAGTAGGTAATTTTAATAGATAAGGAATCAATTTGAGATTTTATATGTGCAATATCTCTATCGTGACAATTGACTCCATCGTACGCACTGTATTGTTTTGGTAGAAGAAAATTGGTTTTTTCGTTATTTTATGCGGAATTTTCTCTATATTTTCCTTCAAATGTATTACCAATAAATTCGTATAATATAATATAATCATATAATAGATCATTACAAGCTCATTATTATTTGATATCAGTGGAGCTCAAAGATCATTTGAAGGTAATAAGTTAATATGAGTACCCAAAATCATTTTTGAGTTAAATCTTATAGATCCTTAAATATATCTGAAAACAAACATCTACTGACTTGTAAAATACAATATATAACATATAACAGGCGGTTTAACCTAAAACACCTAGCACAGCGGAAACTCTCTACCTACCAAGCACAAATTTTATCTCCAGATTTGCAGTGGATCTATTCCTCCAGGTTAGAGGTTGATCGTAAGGTGTGCAGCCTCGCATTGGTATTTACAATTATTAATTATTTGATACCGTGATCTAATAATATAAAATTCAATTACACTCAATTATTCGTAAAGTACCTAGGAATATAGTCGTGCCCTGAAAAATTTTAAGCTCAAAATTAGAGTTTATTACCCTTCTAATCCAAAGCCGTATATGACTTATATGTTTGGCCGTATGTTTGTAAGTATGTTTGTAAGTATGTTGATTGTTTGTTTTCTTAAAAATCCTTATAAAACACCTCTTCTTTCTATAAAAATCTGAACAATCTGTGAATAAATCGATATGTCTTTAGCTACACTATTCCTTGACAATAGAGTGGCAAAAGATTGGAACAAGAATAATCTATGGATATTCCACTGCAACTAATTACAATTTATTTAAAGATAATGTTAGGACAATGTTTTTTTTAGGATATGTATTCTCTTATGTTGGTTTTGGAACCGAACATTTCTAAAAAATCATCGGTTGGTTGCCTTTTTGATGTAATATTTTTATAGGTTTTAGTTTGTGGGCAACGCAGTTAAAAGCCACAACTGTATTGACTTTAAAGTCATATTGAATTAAAAGATGTGTTTATCTAGCTTTGACTGTTAGTTTTTTTTATTTGTTTCAATATATATTTCATGATCATGTATAAAGAAATTTTGTTAATTTACCGAAAAGCTTGCGCCTTTCTGTTTTTTTTAAACTAAAATTAGCTGACTAAAATGCTAATTCTTTTAAGAACCTTAAAACCTTTTTCAAAATATCAATAGTTTTGATTTCCATAAGCTTTGGTTCATATATCATTCTACGTTATATATCATTCTATGTTTTTTTACCTTGGTCTTATCAATCTTAGCAATGGTAGTTGCAAGACTTTGAAGACTATATATAAGAAGAAAGAGGTAAGTATCCTATCCGAATGTTTGGATTATGAGAAAGGTAAACAATTATTACTTATGTGTCTTAATGATATTGATATCGATACCATTTAATCAATATGAAAGTATTATGCATGATTGTTCTATCATCTATATATCAAGTCCTGTGATTCTTCCTTTTTTTAATAAACTTTATAGTGTCCTTGTTTTTATGTATACTTATAATATCAAGTATGTATATGTGTATGTCTTTATAGTGCTTTTTCTTTTTAAAAATGACTTTCCCTTTGTAAAAAACGTTGAATGCTGTCTCTATAAGTACGACTGTAATGTAAATATATTTCTGTATTTTTCAAAAACATAGAAATATGCCTCCATGCTTTCAATAGTACTATGTGTGAAATAGAACCTGAAGAAATATTTTGTTCAGGTTTTTGTTTATTTCTGCTTAGTTTTAGATTTTGAAAAAGTTTACAGTTTCTATGGTAATTTTATCTACGTTTTTGGGACTTAAAATCCAGACAGTAGGATATGTACATAGTTCGTGTTCTGCTAACTATAGGTATCATCCCCATTTAAACATTCAGTGAAACTGTAAACCTGTGAGATTATAATGTGTTATAAACAAAAAATCATTTAATTTTCTAATCTATAATTAGTCTCATATGGATGATTATTGTTAATTTTTTTTTAAATAAAAGTGTTTATCAAATTTTTAAATCGAAACGCATAAAGTTTATTATAATTCGATTTATGCACATTTGTTAATTTTATGAAATTTATTTTATTATAAAATACGCGATAAATATTAAATCACAATATAGGTTGATATTTTTGCAAATATTTAATCTTCATCTATTGGTGGTATACATTCTTCTTTTTCCTCACCTTCTTCACCATTGCCACCACCACCAATAAGTCCAATTAAATCAGTTAAGGTTCTCTCACCAATTATTTCATTTGCAATTGGCACGACGAAATCATTGCTAATGTCAGCCATGTTATCTGTATTATCATTGATGGCCAACATAATCCATTCCTCGATAATCTCATTGAGTTTACGATTAATGATTTTTATATTAGAAAGACCTTCAATTTCTGAAACAACTTTACCAAGACTGGCATATACTTTGAATTCTTTTAAGCGTAAACCATTGCTACCAATGAGACCAAGGGAGTATTTAATTGTGCCCCAAATTGTTAAATCTTTAAGTGCTAATTTAGCATTTCCTCCACGATTCATTACCTTCTTCATATTGGAACCGGTACGCATAAGCATGTTGTAAACGGTCTTGCAATGGATTATATCGAAATGGAATTTAAAAGTGATTTTACTTGTTATGGTGCTCACTTTCATTTCGACAATATCGAACTCATTGAGACCATATAATTTAAAGTTATCTATGGCACCTTCCAATTCAAAAGAACCAGCATTGATATTAATGTCCTTATGTCCAATTTTCAATGGTGCCATAGGTGGTACACCCAATCCAGGGAAGCCACATGGCATTTGAGTTTTAGCACCTTCAATCGCATCGACAATTTGACTTGAAATTGAGCGCTCTTTGGCTGTAAGTAAAAAGTAGTAAGCAGATGATTAGGGAAATTTTAGATAAGATTATAGTTTTCAAATATTTTTAAAATACGAATGTACATAGTATAATACGTTATACATTATGAGCAATATATACATTGTTATAAGTAGATTTAGGTAATCTCGTTATTTATTATAAAAATAGCTATTGATTAAAAATGAGCAAAGTGTTATTGTTTAATTAATGCAAGATTATAAAACTTTTAAACGTTAAAGTAGATCTTATCTCCTTTGGGGGTTGAAAAACAAGCAGATAAAAGATACACTTTAACAATTACATACAATATTATTTTTAAAATTTTAAATATTTTGTATTATATTTTATTAAAATATACGTCATATAAGTATTCTATATAAAGCAATTGACAATAATAAAAAAACATTGTCTATGACTTCCCGGCATTGATTTAAGCCAGGAGGAGAATTCTATGATGAGAGTTACAGTTCTCATTTAAAGAAACTTCTCTGGGGAAGAAATTCTGACATTTATACGAAAGGCGGAATGAATTCTACTTAGTCGAGGTCAGTTATTATACAAAGTTTCTTTTATGTCGCTACATTCTGAAGTTCAGAACTCTAAGTGCCACAGATACAGATCTATTCTTCTATACTAAAATATATTAACTAGATTTTATGAACTCTTTACAACCCAATATAACAGTATGTAAACAATTTAGTTGAACTCTACTTTTAAGTATGGAAATATGTATCTATATATAAATATCTATAAATATATGAAATATTGTTTCTTAATCCGAAATGTTTAGGCATAAAATAGAATAGTATATGGACTATTTTTAAAATAGAGAGCAGAAAACTCTAATGACTAATTGCTTAGCACAAAATAACTTCACCGACTTATGTCGGAATCCCGGAATTCGGGAATCAATGGCCTCTGTCCTGGTCTAAAATAAAGCTTTATAATCATATAGAATATTAATAAAAGTTGAATTTATTTCTCTATATAAACAGCATTCTCTCACATCAGAGAATATATTATTGTGAGGATAGTTACATAGAATAAAGTCCTCTGATAGGAAGCTCCCTGTCACTCCTTTAATGTGGCAGTAATCTAGATTGTTGTATCAGTAGTAACGTTTTTCGAATCCATTGCTATGATTCTTAAATTTATATTTAATCTCCATTTTAAAATTTTAAGAGGCTGAGTTACATCCGCCCATTCTCTTCAAAAGTTTTTTCATAGGTACTGCTTTTTAAATGTTTCTCAATGTATACATGAGTTTTTGATTACAATCGCGATATGATATTTAATTGGAGAAATTTTGAAGATAAAATTTGAACGTAATAAGAACAAAACACATATGTGTGGATTACCGCATATTAACATAATTCTAATAAACCAATTAGTTTACAGAAGAAGTGGCATTAGAGCCAAAGTGTCGTTAATCAAAGATCATTTTTTGTAAATGTTTTTTGAAGAAACATTTTGTGCAGAAAACAATTCGCTGCCAATGAGAGAACAACGCCTTTTGAGTATTTACTGTAAACTCTTCGTTTACCAAATATCTCATATCAGACTTTTGGTAAATATAACAAAAATGTTTTCTCAAAAGCTTATATTATATTTATATATATATATTATATTACATACATTATTAGACATTATATTTTTCGTTATATCGAGAGTTCACTCTACTCTGTTATATCTATAATATTCTGAGAAAAGGTCCGATTGCAAAGACTTAACAGTTGTAAGGTAACAAAGGCTATCTGCAACCCCTGTTGACGTTCTAACTATTTCCCACTTCTCAAAAATTTTGGAGCATTTTATACTACATAAATAGGTGTTTTCTTTAATTTAATTTATTATATTAACTATGAATTAGTTATTTCTTAAATAAATTTCGGTACTATATGGAACCCTGTTGAAAATTTGCTAAATGGACCACGAGGTGAACGCGCAGTAGTTGGTAGTGTAAGTAATAGAGTTACTACTCTATTAACCATGTCTCTAACTTTATCTAAGAACTAAGAACTGAAGATTGGTGCGCAACATTTTGATGTCTATACATAAACATACTTATAGCTTTCTACTTATATAAAATATATATTACTATTATTATTACTGAATTATATATCTATTTCTCTTTAAGTCCAAGTGAAAACATATATAACAACTGCAGAAGCATTAAATGAGGTCCGTACTTATACTATTACTGCATTTGTTTATTCAGTGTTTTAATTATTTCTTTTTCAGTATTTTGAAATATTTAATTGAATCTTTTATTGCATTATACTATTAACTAATCACTTTTTTGAAATAATTTTTTTGAATAATTATTTATTCTTTAAGATAATCACTTTTCAATATGCCATTCAATAAGCCTCTCTTAGCACCTTGAACCAATTTTTGCTGGTTAAGTGAACTGAATTTTGATTTATATAATTAGCAATTTTTTTCTTCTCCGGTATTAATTAGCTTATATTTCATATTCAATCTACCATAATTACTAAATTCTCTTCACCTCTGCCATTACAACAATTATTTCAGATAATTGCCACGTTCCACTTACCGGCCAATGGTTCTGAAAACTCAGCTGCTGTTGTCAATGCCACTAAGGCCAGGAAAACCACTATAAGAAACTTCATATTCTTTATGAGTTTAAACGACTTGGATTACGATTCGTTATGAATTCAGCGCACGAACTAAACCAAATCGCACTAAACACTTGAATTTAATACATTTTCACAAAAAAAAAAAAAATTATTAAAAAATAAAAATGTTGTGAAGAAACTTTAAAGATCTGATAAACTAATCAGGAAACATGATAATTATACTCAGTTGATATTGTTTTAATTAACCAAATTCCCTCGCTGCGCTTAGCTCTTTGTTAATTATTTTTTGGATTATCAGAACCACGAAATGATTATTTACTGGAATTTACTAAAAGCAATAAAATTTCGTTTTACTACATTCTACTCATAAAATATTGATTAGGTGACGTTTTATTATTTTCAATTGACTAAAGCAAAAAAGGAAATTGTTTATAAATATAAAAATATTCTGTGGTTCCAACCACGCCCATTTGACAATGGATTATATATGTGAATATAGCTTAGTTCTTCTGATGTCAGGCCTTCAAGTTGCACGTTTTTTTATCTAATGCGACTGACTTTTTTTTTAGTATGCAGTTTGTTGTTTTTCAGTGACTTTTCTTTATCATATAGACTATAGCAGCTGTCAACTTAAATATTCTAAATGTTCTATTCTATTCCTTAAACTTCAAAAAGTAAGCTATATCCACTTACAGCATTATTTGAAAAGTTGCTTAAAAGAGTTAACTTCACTAACATCCGTTGTCAAATAAACGTGTCCAGGAACTAGAAAAAATAAGACAGTTCGGTTTATAATGGAACTCGAATTCGAGTAACAAAACAAGACTGCAACGAGATCTAAATCTCCTTTTCAACCACACCTACCGCAGTTGTGGTGAGAACGATGAAAGTGCCTTCCACTTACTTTGCTTCTGTCCGGCATTTGCGCGGCACCGCCTTTACACTTAAGAGGCTTTCTTTTTCGAGAATCTTGGTGAACTTCAGGACCTCCCTCTGAATAGCATTATAAACTCTGTCAAAGGTTCTAAATAATTTTAGTCCTTGGGTTATTAATAATACGTTAGTACAAGGGGTCTATAGACCGGTATAACCTAACCTAACCTACTAACATTTATCATTTATCATGCCAGAAGCCATTAATACTGTATTAAAATTGATAATACAAGATCATTATGTGACACATTGTAAGATTAAGTTTAGTTAAGTTATGTTAACTAATTAGTTATTAGTAATTAATTAAGTTTAGTGATTAGTTATTATTAGTTAGTTATTGTGTAGACATATAGAGTATGATATTCAATTATTAAATATTAAAAAAGAACCATTATAGTTGTTTCTAACTGGACTACATGTTTAAAAGAATATATTTTATTTATGTATATTATATTAAATATTATAAAATACATCTATATTATATATAGCGTATATTTTGCACTAAAACTAAAATATGTGGTCAAAAAATATAACAATAGGGATCATGGGCTCTAAAACTATACAGCAGTTCGGTGTATATAACTACATGGGCGTGTATCCTATAATTAATAATTTAATAATAATTTTTTGTTTTTTTTTTTTTTGTTTGCTTGAAATACTTCATATGTTTTTTTCATTACCACTTTTGTGTTTCGGAGAAATGAAGAACTTACAAAAACGAATAATACATCATCACGATAAGACAACCTTTTAACCATCGGCTTAAAGAAATGACTAGGCTCCAACGTAAAAATCAGTCCTGGTATCTAGAGACTTTTTGCTCCAACATATCAGAAATCGAGATAATATCGTTCATAGAAAAAGTCGAAAGGGGGTAATCCTATTTAAATGAGAGTTGCGAGCTAGTCCTTTGACAATATTAATATGTGTATCACTTTTAGATATAATTATTATAAAACCCTTAAAAACAAAATAAATAATTATTAATATTTAAAAATAAATAAATAATTATAATAAAAATAAAAAAATAATAAACTAATTAATTGGTTCTTACATGAAAGCATAAATAATAATGACTATGAGAAATGACTATTCTTTCAATAATGAAAGAATAAAAAAACTATATAATTCTAGGTTTTAAAATACTCGAAAAAAAAGAAAAATTAATTAAAATACATAAATTATAAAATATTTTAATAATTATACAAAATTATTTTAAAATGATTGTGTCCATGATAAGATATCTACTTCCAGCAGAGTAACCGGCAATAGTGACGATATTTTAGTAAAAAATTACTTTTTAATTAAGTAAAAATGCAAAAATACTATTGTCTTTTATAAATAAATAATTAGAAATAATTAGAAATAATTTTTCTTTGAAATAAAATAATTATAATTTATACATTATTATGTATAACATTGTTAAGGTTTAATCTAAGTATATTCTTAATACTACGATGATTAGGCAAAGAAGAAGGAATGACATAAAAAATGTCACAATACATAATAGTTTACTAGTATTGCCAGATATAAAACTTAATATATTTAATTTTTATATTTAACATATTATAATTTTTGAACAAATGCTATAAATTTGTATTTTCAATAAAATATTTATGTTTTAACTTAAGGCACTATCTTCAACAAAAAAATAACATATGCTTTGTTTTTTTTATATTTTCAGGTCAGTTCTTTAAAAAAAAATATTTTAATCAACTATTTTTCATAATTTATCGTAATGAGTACTTAAATATATTATTCATAATATTTTTTATATGTTTTGATGTTACAATTTTCAAGATATATAAACATTTTTCATATCGTAAAATTCTTAAATGAAAGAATATAAATACTTTTATTTGTGACCAAAACTTATTATTATAATAATTTGTTACCGGGCTAATTGGTCAAATTTTAATATAAATAAAAAGACACTAATTTGTTATTTATATTTAAAAATCGTTTATACTTTATTTCCGATATTTCGACTATCTTGGAAAGTCATCTTCAGGGAAAACTACACAAAATCATTTTGTGTAGTTTTCCCTGAAGATGACTATCGAAGATAGTCGAAATATCGGAAATAAAGTATAAACGATTTTTAAATATAAATAACAAATTAGTGTCTTTTTTATTTATATTAAAATTTAACCAATTAGCCCGGTAACAAATTATTATAATGAAAGAATATATAAAACATTATATAAAATTATAGAAAAGAATAATATATAATATATATAAATTATATATTATTATACAATGTATATATTTTATTACTTAAATAAACATTGTTATATTATTTATTATTGAATTGATTTTTTAACATCAGTTGTGGAGAAAGAAAAATCTTAACATATATAAACTATCGTTTTCAATAGAAAAGTTTTCGAACAGTTGTCGAACAGTTTTCGAAACAGTATTATTTTTAATAAACAAAAAGTTTTTGTTGCAATTTAGTGCTGTGTAATTTATTCAATTTCTGGTTTCATCAGGTTTTACTAGAAAAAAAATGCTTCCGAAAAGCATATTTTGAGTCACTATAAGTTTTATTGAAAGCATTTTTTATTTTATAATTCTTTAAGTATTTAAAGTCAAATGCTGGTATAATAATATGACTTGCCTAAGTTGCTTGACTTTAATATATTTGTTACTACTTACTGGGAAATACCTGATATATATACGAAGCGCTGCCCAGAATTTTATTGAGTTGAAGAGAAATTACTGTTCTAGATAATATTAAGGAAAATGTAGTAATTCTGTTAAAAAGACATTACTATTTATTGAACCTAAAACAAATATATAATATATATAAAATAAAAATATAAAAAAAGTTAAATATTTAAAGTCACTTGAGATGTGTTTTTTTTTTTTTCATGCAACAAATTAGAGAAAAATTTTAATTTGCCTTTTGAATTAATTTGTAATACAATCAAACAATTCCTTCCTTTATTTCTTAACTTCTCCAAGTAGCACATTGCGGTGATGACTTGAAAATATCTATTCACAATAAATGTCACTATTTTATTTGATAAAAACATTTTCATATCTTACCAAACTTTTACAATTTGAAACAAAAAAATTTGTCATTGGAGCCCAGATCTAGTGTCTAAGGATGATAAATTAAAATCTACAGCGTTTCAAAGATAATTGATTAAACTTTTATGAAATTGTTTAAACAATTGAATTTGTTAATATTTAAGTACTAATATAAACCGTTAAATTTCGAAAAAAAATTTTTCTCAAAACTCTTAGCTAAATTTTCATTTTTTATATTTTATTTAGATTCAGTTTTAAATTTTACTACGAAATAAAAATTTTCAGTGACCCGTTATTTTTTGAAATTTTTTAATATTTTTTTTTCTTCCGCGAAACACATCTTGCACATGCGTACTGCATTTCCATTGAATGAATTTTCAAAGAATATAGTACATATATTCTTATATAATATTTTTGATTTCGATTAGTAATAAAATTCTACATAAAACCCAAAAATTTCTTTACGTCATTAAAAGTATTTTTAAAAATTTATTTATCCTTCATATCACACCAAACACATACAACGATTTTTCAGTAAAAAAAAAAGGCATATATCACAAAAATTTTTTTTTTACTTTTGATTCAAATTAATATAGAAATTCTACTTAAAAAATAAATATTTCCACTGTGATATTCATTTTAGAAGTAATTAAAAAAAATTAATTAATCAGGTGTCCTTCACGTTACTCATACGCACCATAGTACCATAAAATCAATTTTCTAAGGAAAACGATACAAAAATTTTTACTTTTTATTTTATTTTGAAATTTAACGGTTAATATTATTACTTAAATATTAACAATTTCAATTGTTAAAACAATTTCATAAAAGTTCAATTAATTATCTTTAAAACGCTGTAAATTTCAAGTTTCTACCTTTTATAGAACTTGAGTTATAGCCATTTGAAAATGTGTCTACTATGCCAATTCTCAAAACCCATGGATCCATATCTCCTAGGAAAAAAATCACAAAATTTTTTCCCGAGATACGGGTCTTCTTATTTTATGAAAGGAGCTCATAAAAAAGATTTCAGCCAAATCGGAGATCATGAGGTCATTTTCTTTGTCAAAATCCGCCCGGTTTGTAAAAGAATGACCCATATAGGGTGTTTAAGTCACGGCAAAGACAAAGTAATTTTTGTTTTTTATTATTTTTCATTCAATCCTAAAAACAAAGCTCCTAGAAGTAAGCAATAATGTTTGAAAGTAAAATGCATATAAATTCCAAAACAAAATACCCATGAAGAAAAATTAATGTAAAATTTTAGGCGATTTAATATTTTATTTCTTGATTTTTCTAATTTTGTAAATTTTAATTAATTTTGATTTAATTGAAATTCAATTTACATTTAACAACATTTTCTTTTAAATAAAATATTTATTTATACGGACAGAGAATCAGATCTTGTAGTTGTTCCTTCAAAAAAGTTTTCACCGCGCTTAGATAGAAATATAAACTAATTTTTAAAAGTTCCTCTTTATAGATTTTTTATAGAGATCTAATTAGATAATAGTAAACTAAGTTGGTCAACTTAGTCTGTCGAAACTCACAAAATATCTGGGTATTAATTAGCTCCAAGAATTGAGACATTACTTTGTTTGGGACACTGATTGACTAGTAGCTATCGTTTAGTCGGCATTTCTTGTTGTTAGGAATATATCTATATGGTTTATAAAGTTTTTACTACACTATACTATAATCTGCTTGACAGAGTCATACTTGGGTGAATGTAAAATTATTTTTGTAGAACATTTTTCAAAAATTTGTTTCCTCTGATATATCGTACGCTACTGTTTGTTGTGAGATGTGCTTTACCCTAATATTTTTTTAACCATACTTCTAAAAAATATGATATCCCAAAAATTTCAATAGATATTTAAATCTTATAATAAATTAAATTTAAATAAAATATTTCTTTTCGAATTAACGATTATTATAAATACTTACGTGTAAATAGATTTCAGTTTTGATGTAAGTACAATCAATATTAAGTATATATTATTTATAGAGCTTGAGATTTCACTATTTGAAAGTTAATTTAAAATAAAATGTAAACTATTTTTAAATGTTAAAAATAAAAATTAAACAAATTCTTTTATTTCATTGGACGAGCTCATAAAAAAAACTTTAGTCACAACAAAAGTAATGTTCACACTTGATGGAGTGTGTAATTTTTGTTCTTCTGATCCAGTAGTTCCCAACCGTTGATCTGAGAGATGGTTAAAACTGGTCCTTAAATCAAACAGGTAGGGATAAATAGCTTACAGATTGTCTACTCAGACCTCACTTATTAGAATATAAGCACAAAAAGGTTGTAAGTAATTACATTAGAGGCTCATAAATTAGAACCACTTGATTTTTCAGGTAAAATGTCTAATTTCTAGACTTTTTATTTTTATAAAAAATGAAAAAAAAAATTAAAAATCTACATAAAAACTTTATTATACAGTTAAAATCAATTCTTATTAAACATTATTGTACAAAATATTCAATAATGTTTATTTCAAAAAGTAAATTATAACGACAGCGAACATAGTGAAAAAAGTTGGCTAAAATAGGTTACTTTACTTTAATCCGTTTTCAAATGACCGTACCCGTAAATCAGCATATATTTTATGGACTTATAAAATTAAACAATTATCCGTTTTGTATACTTTATATGCAGTAAAACATATATTGACTTAGTTAATAATAAATACTATAAGTTACTTGAATATATTAAGTTGTGTCATACAGTGGTTATCCCGGTATAGCTTTTAAGATCATTTAGTCTTATAGTACCTAAATATATATATAGTACTTATAAAACGTAGGCTACTAGTAATAATATCATTATATTGAGTATTGATTACTTATCTATCAGCAAACCAATGTATTTAGCTTCGCATTTGTGTTTCTTTCCTTTCTTTTCCGTAGCCCACTTCATTAGACATATCTGATTTCTAACTCAAATTTTTATATCCAAGAAAGTAGCAGTTTTGAAAAGTTCAGTTCCAAAAACATAACTTTTAAGGAACTCTCGACCTAACCAAACGTATTATGCTGATTTGAATTAAACATTTGTAGATCCTTGGGCGCAAAAGTTCGTACTGGATGTTTTACCTGCTGGAAAATCCCACATGACTTTGAAAGCACTATATAGTGATTTGTGAGATTTCAATTACATTTTGCTGATTTGTATACAATGGTAAATTAAGTATATGAAACCTTGGTATGAAATGTTTTTGGCGCCGGTATCTTTAGATGGAATGTCCAATTCAACCACTACATAAAAGTCAGTTTCTCATCTCTTATCCAATGTTTTAAATTAGATTTCAATAATATGAAATTTCTACACAACTAGGCACCCCATCTAGCGTGCAAACTCTATTTAACCATTTTTCAAAAAAGAATATATATATATTTTTTGAATAATTTTGTTTTTCTCTCGATTTGAGTCCGGACTACTTAATTATCTTAAGTAAAGGCAACTAATTTTTATGCAATAAATTAAAAGAGAAGTTTTTACTCTTATCTTGACGAACTTTGTGTTTTAAATAAATTGATTTAAATCTCAATTTTTTTTTGTGAAAAAATATTATCGATAATTGTTTTAGCACAACTTTTCCAGTGAATACATTTATGTATGATTTTTTTTTTTTTTATCAGAGTTAGATAATGAATTTTCATCTTCGATTATTATAAAATAGAAAATGTAAATATTTTCGGAAAATCTTTATTTTGTCATTTGAAAAATTATTTTTCTTATTGCATCAAAATATACAAAATCTAAAATAAATTAGGCTTCTGGGGGAATGCAAGCTTGTTTTTCACCATCCTCACCACCGCCAATGCTGCCAACCATATCAGCTAAAGTCATATCATCCAAAACATCGTTGATCATTGGCAAGGCAACAGTTTCAATAGTTTCAGCGATCATATTTTCATTTTCATTGACAGCAAGTTCGACAGCTTCAGCCAAAATGTCGTTCATTTTGTGATTGACTGTACCATCACCCAAGATACCCTCAATATCAGATTCAACATCACCAATGTGGGTACGTACATCCAAAGACTTAACCTTCAATTTACCGCTCAAAACACCCAAAGAATATTTCAATGTACCGAAAATATGCATATCCTTAATAGCGAATTTAGCTGGACCAGCACCAACCATGTTAATTGTGAAACCAGCTTTTTTCATCATTAGACGGAAATCGTACAAGGTATCAACATTGACATTATTGAAGATGAAACGGAAAGTAACTTTGCTTGTGATGGCATTAACTTTCATTTCATTGATATCGAAATCATTCAAGCCATTCAAACGGAAGCTATCAACAAAACCGTGCAAACTGAAGGCAGGGTGGTCGATATTGATTTCCTTGTGCGGGATTTTGAGTGGAGCTAGTGGTGGAATTCCAAGACCAGGGAAACCACATGGCATTTGATCACGCAAACCTTCGATGACATCAACAACGGCACTTGAGATTGAACGATCAGCTAAAAAAATAATACAAAATATTTAATGAAATTTATTTTGTTTATACAAAAAATTAGAGAAAATCTATTGGTATTCTATTTTCACTAACACCGCCTATTATTTATTTAGTTTTTATTTTATTTCTTTTTACTCAATATATTCCTCTCAATTTGGAAATATTTTCTGCTTTGTTTCTCTCTCTTTTTTTCAAGTTTTTATTTTTTTTTCAAATTCTTTACATTTATAATTTTTTTCCGATTTCTTAGTCTTACTGGTTTCGGCAGTATTAAAATTGAAATTGTTCATATACATATATCTACCTCATAACATTATATACGTGTATTGAGAGAGTGTTTCTCTATCTACATTCCGATTAGAAACTACAAGTGCGAATGAAAGCAATTCTCAGAAGCCTCATGTAAGGTCTGTTGAGGTAGATCACGTTCTGCCAAATATATATATTTTTAATATATTTTCTAGGTAAAAAAAAATTATTAAAACAGTTGTGATATAGGGTATTCATAAGCTTAATTTTTCACCCAATGGAGCTTATAGCAATGTATTTAAAAATGGAAATAAAGAAAAAACTATATAAGTAACTTTATAACTTTAACCATTTCTGTAATTTAAGAGTTAAATATGAAATTTAATTATATTATATTTTTTTTTTTAATATATCATAAAAATTACAAACTTACCAAATGGATCGACAACTTGTGTGGCTGTTGCAAAGGCAACAATTGCCAATAGTACGAAAACGGATTTCATTTTTTTGAACTGCTAATAAGTTTTTCAGATACTTCAAATAGAACTGCTCGAGAGACTAACAGTCACTATACTACCTTTGCGTAAATAATTTGTATTGGCTTTTATAGATTGCCAAACAATAACTGTTTGGTCTATGGAAGCCCCTTGACCACATTCCCGAAATGTTACCTATATTTAGTTGGATTCAAGAGCAGATATTTAGCACTCGCATGTATGTAGGCACAGATAAGGCATTTTTTGCAGGTGCTGAAATATTTCGTGGCAAAAACACTTTTTTTTGTAGAACGTCGTATATGGATTATCTTCGTCTTATCTTTCTGATTTGCCATTGTTGTTCAAATTATTTTAATTCGGTAACATCTAAAAAAAGAATCAAAGTACTTAGTCCGTTGGTAGTAGTAATTTTTGATTTATTAGCCACTTTATGTTGTCAGGTGAAATCAATAATTGGTTCATCCAATGCGAGTTAGTAAAATATACTTGACAATTTTACTGCGATCAAAAATTAATCTATAATAATATTTTGAGAAGAAAAAAAAGCATTGAAACTTATAATTTTATAATTTGTAGAAATAATTGCAGTTTTTTCTTATATATTCATTAAATAAAATAATGTATTCGATTGTAAAATTGTCTTTGTGCATTTTCTAGATGGCTCCAAAAAAAAAAAATGATTACCTAGCGTGAACCTTACGCAACTGAAACATAATACTTTATATTACTGATTTCTGTTCATAAATCTTTAATTCTTATGGAATTATTATTCTGAAGCTTTTTTAAATTTTACAAAACTTCAATTCATTATTTAAAGAAATAAACATTACTCTGAGAAGCGAACGAGAAAGTTTACAGTTTAGCGCGCTCTGCTGCTTCCCTGGATGCGTTTATATCATTCTAGAGACCATTAAAGGAAGTACTTGCATTTAATTTCTTTAGCCTGGCAATAACAAATGGAAGGCACTTAAATCATATACAACTTCCCGGTTAACATGGGCTAGGTACCTATAATAAAATTAGATCCTGGGATTTCGACTACACTGCAAGGCTTACTGCAGTTCTTTCTGATCATTGAAACCCATTGTAGAAGTTATAATCCTCACTGCAGCAGTTGTGAGGAAATACTTTCTCTTTCTCTGTTTCTCTTTAACAGTTTGTCAAATTGTTCATCGATAAAAATGAAAGACCTGTTAAATTATAGTCTATATTCTTCTATCTTAGAGGTTTTTGCGAGGAATATGGTAGTAAAACGGCGAAAAATTGCTAATTGAGGTACATGGAAGTTATCTAATGACCTACTTGTGCAACCAACCAACCAACTCTGAGAAGTACCCACAATTTTTTATATAAACTTTATATTATTTTATATAATCTTAACACTAATGTAAGTGAAGAAAACATTAGTCTAGTTAATTTATTTATATTAAGTGGTCAAGTGAATATCTCTTGAACACCAGGAAACAACGATTAGATTTAGCACATCCATCTGTTTGTCTGACTACTTGATGTAACTGGCGCTTCTTCGGTCTGGGTACCTACTTGTAGAGATATTATTAAAAACCATTTATGACAGTTTGTGATATACAGAAACTTGTTATGAATCCAAATAGCAATTAAATCCGAATACATGGTTTTAAGTGAAATTTTAATAGATTTTTAACAATCCCAATGAGTATGGTAGGCTTTTGCATCACTTTTTTTTTTTTAGTAATTTATTAACATTTCGGTCTAAAGAACAAAAAAACAATGTTTATAATTACGTCAACAACTTCTTATTACGATGAGACACTATAATTGAAATCTATCAAAACTGACTTTGGAAATCTAATTATTTCATTTTTAATTACTACAAGGCTTAACACATAATAGATATCTGGGAAGTAAAGAAAATGCTCCTTCTCCTATAACTATTGATATGATAGAATATATCAATAGTTTTCTATTGATAGTTATGAAGACGTGTTTCAGACGTCACCTAACGGTTCTTCCTGACGGGCTTTCCATCCGCCCGTAAGAAGTTTTTAGGGCAGTTAAAATCCCTCACTGATTAGGCTCTCGAGCTAATCAGTGTTTTGACTGATTAATATTAATTGTTTTGACTTAAGTAATTTTCTTCTCAAACACATAATGTAATTATATTATAAAGGAAAGTTAATTTTTAATATCTCAATGAAAAAATATTCAGAAATACAAAAAAGTGGTTTATATACGTATATATATTCATAATCATAGTAACAAAGTGTTATTAAAAAATATACTTAACATTACTTACTACATTCGTTCAGTAATAAAATTCTTCGATTTGAAAGGAATGAACAATGATGCAATAAAATTGGAAATGGATTCTGTTAAGGGCAACCTTGCGCCACGCACCATTGTTAACAACAAAAAAATATTGGAAACCTGACTTTAAACGTGATCGTACGAGTGTTTTTGATGAAGAGCGTTCGGGTCGTCCAAAAGAGGTCACAACTGTGTTGAATGAATCAAAAATTAAATTGCGTGAGATGACAAACAGCAGAGATGACAAACATATTGTATGATTGTGAGTCCAATATTTTGCATGAATATTTCGATATGAAAAAGCTTTCAGCAAGTGGGTACAGGGTTTGCTAACATTTGATCAAAACCGACAATGACTTCGTCATTCAAAACATTATTTTGAAATGTTTATGCCAATTAGTAAAACATGGACCCACTATTTCACACCTGAGAGAAAACAAGACAACAAGTCAGAGAATGGGTACAGCCCAGGGTAGTGCACCCAAACAACCACGAACACAACAATCAGCTGGAAGTTTTGGCTTCCATATTTTGGGGTTCAAATGGAATATTTTTCATAGACTGTTTGGAAAAAGGAATAAAAACCTCAGCAAATATAAATGAATTATGGTACGAATTGCTTTCTCATCCACTAGATTCTCCAGATTTGACTCCCAGTCACTATTACCTATTTCCAAACTAAAAAATATGTCTTCTGGAGAAGAGAGGATTGCATCAAATGATGTAGTGGAATGAGAAACTGAGGTATATTTTGGAGAACTTGATAAATTGTATTATTTAGAAGGTATCCAAATGTTGAAAGATCATTGAACTTGGTGTGTCGAGCTAGAAGAGGACTATATATAAGCATAAAATATAATATAATCCAAATTAAATATAATCGAAAATTATTATTTAGAAAGGTTATTTATCAATCCATCTAGTATATTGTATTGTAAATAAATAAATAGATTGCAAACAGTATGCCAATTTCTTTTATTTAAGATCAGTGACGTCTTAGCAAAGAAAATCCAATTCAGTAGTTGCTAAAAAGCAACTTTAGTAATCGACGATTTTTTTTTTTCATGAAGGTTTATTCACACTTAAATGCAAATATGTTGATTGCACATGGAAAGTGCAATTATTTTATAAAGATAAATTGAAATAAAATTTATTTTCATAAAATAAAAATAAGTTTATTATATATTTCATTAAATATGTCAATAAAATATTGACTGATGCTGTTTTCTTCATATACGTGAAATATACATTTTTTTGCAGGCTTTGTAAATTTCACGGATATCTTTATGATTATATGTTATAGATAATTGTAGTTTAAATACAAAACATGTTAATTTTACTAAAGTTGTTTTATTGTGAAATTATAGCATTTAATATATGATTTAAAGAGTTATACTGCGAACCAGCCAAAATACATTCTGTTGGTCATCTTGCACTAGAAGTTGTTGTATTAGCGAAAATGTGCATTGACGTTATTTTTTTAATATTCCATATCAAAATTTTTATATAAATTCGCTTTAAGGCTTTATATATATTTTATTAATATTAAATAATAACACCATTTATATCACATTTTGTGTCTTATTATAAATATACATATTATATTAACAATTACTGTTGTTATTTATATAGTATTGAGTATCTTTTTTTATTTATATGCTATATATTTAAGTGTACATATGTTAACTTATTTATATACATATTTTTTTTTTTTTACTAATAATAAAGTTTTTAATATTTTGGTATTATTTAATTTATATTCATTCATTTAGTTTTATAAATACTTAACTTGAGAGTTCCTTTCATCTAATATGTCTTTGTCGAGTTCATGCTGGACCCATTTTCTTGAAAATCTTGACCAATTACAAGACCTGGCACTAAACAGCATTTTGAGCTTTGGTTAAGATTCTGGGTGGTCTTAAACCCTGAGTTTTTATATGTACGGTAACACTGTAACAATGTACCAATATTCTAAAGTGGATCTCCTAAGGATCGCTGTTATAACCTAACTTGATACTTAAACTTTACTGTCTAAATAAAAAAAAGTTTGAAAGAAATTAAAATTAAAAAATTTACAGGTATATACCATATCTGTAATTATAAACCTGATATTATTCAACAACCGAAAAATGAGCTTTACAATTGAAAATTTTAGTACATTGAGCGGTTGTAAGATTACGCACTTTAGTATGACAAATCTTAAACCAAAAATGTTATGTCTTGAACCACTGTTTTGTAATATCAAACAGTCCTGCTAAATGACGATTCCATGATGGATAACCCCTTAGGAATAGGAATAAACGTGGTACCAGCTCCCAACGGAGCGGATCATTGTGATCATTGTCGATCTTTTGTGCTGCAACAGACCCTAATCGAATAGAAGACATAACCCTTTTCATGTTCTGTCCCTTCCTGGTAATAATTTTGTTGATTATTTGACTTTATATTGAATTATTATTAATAAATGGCACTTAACATAAGTAATAATAATAATTATAAAATAATAATAATAATATTTAATATTTAAGTTTAAAACAAATTGTTATTTAGGTATATAAAAAAAATGTTAAGAGTTAAAATTAAAAATTAATTAAAAGTATCTTAAATTAAATGAACAAATAATATATAATATTTTGAAATATAAAAAAAATTTGGCATATTTTTCCTATAGTTTCTATATAAAGGGTATGAAAACTACTTGGGTGGTGCTGTTGCATTGTAAAATCCTAAATATAAGATATAATATAAATTAATAAAGAGTATTTAAATAATTTATACATTATAATACCAATGTTTTCTTTTTCA